GCCCCGCCCGTGTCCCCCCGCGGCCCCCGCGGGATTTTGGTGGGGTGCGAGCGGCCACCGACAAAGTTTGGGGGAGCCCCGCGGGCCGCGCGCGCCCCCGCGTTTTGCAGACGGGCTGTGGGCCGCTCTCCAAGTGCAGGCGGATTCGTATCAACGGGGCGCGCTCCCGGCCCGGCCCCGGGCGGGCGCGCACTGAAACCACCGCTGCGGCGAGTCACTCAGCGCGGGGCGCGCGGGCCGGCTGCGCCTCGGGGGCAGTGAGGCTTTATTTCTTTTCTTTTTCTTTTTCTTTTTCTTTTTCTTTTTCTTTTTCTTTTTCTTTTTCTTTTTCTTTTTCTTTTTCTTTTTCTTTTTCTTTTTCTTTTTCTTTTTCCTTTTCCTTTTCTTTTTCTTTTTTTCCTTTTTTTTTCTTTTTTCTTTTTCTTTCCAGCTCTGCTGATGATGAGGTTGTCATCTCTAACGCTATCACCACCAGCAAAGTTCAGGCAAAGAGCGCGGAGCACAAAGCCTTTTTTTCCCCCCAGCTCCACTCTTTCAAAACGTGCTGGTTTCCTTCGGACTTCCGAGTGCAAATGACACTAATTTGCTCTTATTTTCTTTTCTCTTCCTTTTCCGAACGCGAGGGCTTCGCCCGCTCGCCCTGCAAGCCCCGCGGCGAGCGCGCAGCGCAGCGGGAAGGGCTTTTCCTGCTGCTGGAGAGGCTGGAGCTCGGGAACGGCGCGGGAGGCAGCGGGAATCGGGAATCCGCCTCCCGCCGGCGCTCCCGGCACGGGCTTCTCCAGCCCTTCCCGCAAACTTTGCACGGGCTTCGGTGGAAACACCAAAATATTATTTATGGATTTTTATTAGGCGTTTGAGATGCTCGATAGTTTAGACTAATTAGACGAGCCAAAAGYCTTTTGAAGATTAAGCAAATTGGACAAGCCTTGTTAATTAGAACATAATTTAAAGTTTGAAATTATATCACTCATGAAGTAGCCTAATTAGTATGACGATATGTTAATAGCCTGCCGAAACGCGAGGCACGGAGGTTTGGCGTGAACTCCTTAAAGGCTTGCAAGAAAATCCTCTTTCCTATGTTGTCATTAATAAAAGATTTCTATAGACTTCAGCCTTTCAACGGTGACATACAATTTATAGTACACACAATGCATTAGCCCATAGTGCTGCTCAATTTTTTTACTATTATGAAAACTAATAAATTCGTCAAGCTGAATTAAGCATACAAATCAGATGAGGCATAACAGATTACATATTGAAGCGCCGTGTCTCCCGAGCCTAAATGAAATTTCAATCTAATAATTCCTTCCTGGCCCGGCCATAATTTGTTTAGAGATGTTGTTCTACTTCTTTCCAAGCGCTATTCGCACCATAATTAAATGATACTCAAGCTTTTAACTTTGATTTATTTCATTTCTCGGAGCTGGCGACAGTGAGAGCTGATACAATGCAATTTTTTTTTATTTCCCCTAAAATTACCAAGTCTGCTGTTTAGGTGAGAAATTAAACACCTAAGCACTTATTTTAACCTCCCGGCGCCGAGCGAAATTCGGGGGAATAAACCCATCCACCTTAAGCAGAGCTGACTGCCCCCGCGCTCGCTCTTTTCTTTTATTTTCTTTATTTTTTTCTTTTCTTTTTTTTTTCCCTCTCTTTTTTTCCTTTTCCCTTTGGCTTCCCTGCGTTTCCCCCGCTCAGGGGGCGGCAGAGGGACAGCGCTGCAGGCGCCCCCGGCCCCGCTCCGCGCGGCGCGGGAAACTCCGCGCTCGCTTTGAGCGCGGCGGGACTTTTCCTCCCTCTCTCTCTATTTTCTTTTAATTAATTATTATTATTTTTAACAGGCGATC